AATACAGGGAGAATACAGAACAGGGAGGCTGCTCAGCATATCAGAAAATGTTAAAAATTGGAATAATATGAGTGGAGTATTGTGATAATATCATATCATAGGATGGCACACTTTTTCACTCTTTCATCCACTGGTGAGACCGCATTTCCTCTCCAGCTTATGAGTTATCTGTTTTAAGGTGCACATTTGAGAGTTATACCAGGGAGTCAAGTACTTCTGATTTGAGGCTCTTTTTCACAGCAACTACAGTATCTAGAGTGAAGAGGTAAAAATCTTCCACACTACTCATCTTGCAGAAGACAAAGGGGAGAACCACTTTTCTGCTCTCCATAAAACATTTTTCACCTGTCCATCCGTTCTCCCCCTCTCTCCCCCTCTCTCCCCCTCTCTTTCTGGGTGTTAGATCTTCTGAGATGACATCTGCCCTCACACCCATCCAACATTCAATTATTGACATTTAATCACCTGATGTCCAGAAATATTGTGCAAAAAATTTGAATGAAAAAAGTTGCGTGTTTATTGGTATCTACCATCATGCAAAATTTGAATATGATATGTTAAAAAACAAGACATACGGACAAACAAGCAAACATAAAAACGAAAAAGGATTACATATTCACAACCTTTGGTGAACAAAAAAATAAGAGTCAATTATATTCAAATGTTGCAGCACTGAGGAAAATCTGCAATCTTTTTTTGTCACAATTAGATACGTTTTATTGATTGACTTTCTATTAAAGTAACATGCTGACAGTTAAGAATTAGTGTAAACACTGTGCTAGGTAATTTTATATATTTTAGGGTCTATGTTTTCAACTAAAGTCATTTTTCAAATTTAATAGAGATATCTATAATGTTTGTCTATACTTATTTATTAAAAAGGGGAACATCCTTTGTCTTTTATCTACATCTTTTTTTTGTCATCCGGAAGTCAATAAATGTTCATCCCAGAAAATTACTCTTACTAATATACCTACAATTTCTTTGGTATACTCCATCCTCCGTCATTTACGTCATCATTTCATAAAGTTAGTAAATTTAATAACAAGCTTTATAATTAACATATAAGAAACCAACACAATACCAATTATTGGGTGATGCAATCTGAAGTCTACATTTATTTCAAATATTGCACTATAAACACTGTATTCAGTGTTGCACTAACACCAGCAGGAGGCTCACTGTGACACAATATCCAGTAAAAAGGAAGGAAGTTGTTTTAGAGGAAAGGGCTGGATGGGTTTGAATAACTGCATATAACTGCTCAACAAAGAAAACACAGACCAATGAACAGTGCATGCTGCAGGGACCTTGATTACTGATGGACACATTTTGGATTTCCCTCCCCTACATATCACTGCAGGCAAAGTAGGATTATTGACTTACAGTTGCAAACCTCTGCCAGTGAGTCAAGTTGGAGTTTCATTCCTCAGTGTTAAAAAGAAAAATGTGCAGATATTTAATAAAAATAGGAGATA